CCTGCCATTTCATCTCCAAAATTTGGGAGGAAAGAGTGGTTTTGGGGAGAAAAAAGAAGGAAGAAGAGAAAAGGGGAAAAGTGTGCTTGAATCTGGAGCACATCATAAATTCATGAAGCTTTCTGAATGCTGTCAGAGACAAACATTTATGTAAACAAAGAAGAGCTCAAAGTGTGTTGCAAGAGAATTTTTGGGAAGCGTGTTAAAAACATGAATATTTACCTTGCACCTGAGACTAAAGCTGATTGTGCGAGGCGCTGCCCAAACACAAAGTCAAGGAGCTCAGCCACACACACACTCCAGAGCCCTGGCTTTACTCCCATCACAGCCCTGCACGTCACAGAGGGCAGTGGGAATACCCAGGGAAAGCCAGACACTGAGCAATCCCTGTAAATTGTCTCCAGGGACCTCTTTGCTGTGTAATTTCTGCCTGCCCGTCCTCACGTGGGAACTGCTTCCCCTGAAATGCCCCTGGGAACTCCTGACAGCACCAAATCAAAGCATCTTCCACGACATCTAGAGCAGCACATGGTAACTCTCACTGCACAGCCACTTTGTGGAGAGGATCTGACAGTTGGGCAGGCACCACGTGCCAGCACATCAGTGAGCCACCGACGGGGCTGGGAGCTAAAGCTGTGCCAGCAAACCAAGCCACCCCGTCATTAACTAACATCAGTTATATACGGGCAAGGAGAGAATGGGGAATCAAGGTCAGTGAATTGAATTTGTTGATTTATTTATTTTGGTGGGGTGGCTTCTCCTTCACCGGGAGGTTTATTAAGGCCAGAAGACCTTGGTTTTGCTGGCTTCACACGGGACTTAGGGGGCTGCCAGGTCCGCTTTGCTCCTCTGAGACAGAACAGGTCTGCAGCCACCTCCATGAGACACAGAGCTTGGTGAATTCACCTCTCCATCACAGCAAAACCTGTGCTTGGTACCAACATTAACCATCAAGGTCAGGACAAGCAGCATGAGCTGCCACAACCCAAAATCACGAGTAATGGCACCCCTTCTTCCTCCTTTCAGCAAAGGGACACAGCCAGCACGGGCCCCCTGAGCAGCCTGGCTGCAAAACACGTTTCTGAGGAGCTGTGGAGAAGGGCAGGAGGATCCCAACTCAGTGGGGTCAGCAGGGTGGGATCTCCATCCCAGTGGCACCAAGGGGAAATCCTGCACAGCCCAAATCCCTGTGTAACCCAAATCCCTGTGCACCTCCCTGGGCACAGACTCCTCTCTCCAGGCACTTTGAAACAAGGGAGTCCTTGCCCAGGGACTGTGCCTTCCAAACTGCTGCCTGGGCTCAAAGAGCAACCAAATCCATGATGGCAAACCCAACACAGCAATTAAACAAATGGAGCCATCTCTGGCTCAGGAATGCATCCTTCATCCAAAAAATCCTTCCTGAGGCACAAACCCTGTCCCAGCCTTGGCCACCCTCTGCTCTGACCTCCTGCAGCTGCTCCTGGGCTCGTACCTTCATCACCACACTGAGCTGCTTTAAACACAGAGATAATAGGGCTGGGAGTGACTACCATTCCCAGCTATAAAATACAGCAAATTAATTGCATTTAATTGATTTTTATATTTTAATGTAACTATTTCGGTATTCAAACCACAAAAGCCTCTATTGATCAGCCAGAGTCAGTGAACGGAGTTCTGTGACCAAGCCACACATGTTGAAGAAAATAATCAAAACCCAAAACCAGTGAGACTTGCCCATTTCAAATACACAAAGGAGGCTGCAGCAGCAGTGACAGGAGATTTTGAATTGAAAAATGCTGCACAGAGTAAGTCACACAGTTGCCTCCTGCATTCCCAGAGAGCCCAATGCCGATCACAGCAGCAATGCATAAATCCAGAGTAGCTCCACTGGCTTCAGAGCAGCTGGTCCAGATTTATGCTGATGGGAAGTAAAATCAGGGTATCTAAAATATTCTGCTCTAATGGATGCTGGAGCAAAAGGCACTATAATAATTTCAGACTTCTCCCCCCAGCCCACTATCCCCCACTTCATATCAGTTTGAACGGTCATTGTATAAAATGTTGAGATCTGCACTAATCTGGGGGAAATAACCTACATTTCAACAGTTTGTACGATCGTGATCTGCAAATCTATTGTACGCTAGATAATGCAGGTCTTTCATTTCTGTTCCTAAAGAGCCTCTGAATAAAAAGTGTCTCCATATTAGGTAGAGTGATACAGGGACACATAATAAAATAAGCATAATGTCTCTCCTCCCACGCCCCCCTGGAGCCAGCGTCTAAAAGCGATCTCGGGTCCTTCCTCACGCACAGCTGACAGCGGCCCCAGCGCATCATCCCCCCGGAGCTGTTCAATGAGCTCCGCACGCCCCGTCCCTGCCCCGCGCTCCCGCACCGGAGCGAGCCGGTGACACAGCACCGGGCAGGAAAACAAAACATTCAGGTAACTCATCCAGCCCGCTCGCAGGATACCTATTCATATCACCTCGGAGACAGCTCCGCCGCCGCCAGCGAGGAAGGCGGCCAAAACCCTGCCTGGATGCCAGCAACAAACGGGGGCCCGCTGCCAGGCAGAGACATCCTCGGGCTCAGCGTGAGCGGCCCTGGGCTGCCAGGCACACACGCACACCCTCTGCTCGCACCGAGCGCGCCGGGGCAGCGCGCTGATCTCTTAATTGGAGCCGCACAAAGCTATTTAGGGAACCGGCCTGACAGGAGAACAAATGCCACCCGCTCCGGAGAGGCTGCAGAAAGCCAGCCTGGTGCACCGCCGGGCCCCGCAACGCAGCCGGCCCCGGCAAGGGGGAAGGGAGGGAGCGAAGGCAAATAAACAGAGAAAAATGGCAAGAGCCCAAGGCGAGCGTCTGCGGGAGCCGGCAGCTTTGCGGAGATGGCAGCACCGCGGCATGACTCATGCAGGTGTCTCTCCCGTCTGCAACAACCCAAGCCGAGATGCGGTTCGTTAACCCCTGTAATCCAGAGGAGAAAACCGGCTCGGATTCCAGCGAGCTGCGGGGAGATCGGCACAGCCCCGAGGGAGGCGTTCCCGGCTCTGCCGCCGCTCGCCCCTCTCTGAGGAGCCGTGCCCCGGTCCCACAGCCCCTCTGCCCGCACAGACACGGCTGCGGCCCGCGGGGGTGGGCCAGGCTCCGCTGGGGAGGCAGGAGGACGCCGCGGCCGAGGGAGGAGAGAGGCGCGGGCGGGGAACGCGCTCGCTGTTCACAGCTCGGGCTGAGCGCGCTGCGAGCCCCTGACGCGCACACCGAGAGGGGAGGGAGGGAGGGATGGATGGATGGATGGATACGTCGGTAGGTTTGCAGCCACAAACTGTTTCAAAGTGGGTTTCCATATGTTTAAGCACTCAGAGCGCTGGAAGAATTACACCCACAGCCCGATCTCACCATGGTAGCTACCCACACAGGAGGAGACGGGAGGAGGGAAAAGATAAGCATTAATATGTCAAAGCAATAAATAAAAAATATTTTAAAAAACCAGAAACCTGCTCTTTTGCTGCGCCCAACTCTCTCCTCGATAAAGGAAGAGCTGCACGGAGCATAGGGCATGGCAGTGACCACAGAAAGCCACCATTCCACGGGCAGTGCTGACCCACAGGCAGCCCATGCCCTGCGCCCTGTGCTCGGTGCCCCAGTCCCCACGATCCGCACCCCAAACTCTGCACCCGGTCCCCGTGTCCTGCTCAGGAGGATTCCCAGGTGCTGCACACAGCCCATCCAAGGAGGGGATGGAGGGCAGGGGCAAGCGGTGCTTTTTGGGGTGAGCAGAGCGAGGATCCCCTGCTGTCCATCTGCCGTGTGTCCCCAAGGTTGGTGCCTCCTTCCCGGCAAATCGTTCCTGCTCTTCCTGTAGGAACCTTCCCTAAAACACTTCCCCACCACAAAGCCTTCCCTGTGGCCTCCCCGAGAGCGACAGCTGCTATCCTTTCCCATGGATCGCTCCTTTTTCACCCAAAATCCTTGCATTTAGGCGTGTTCCTAAACCCCCCGCGAAGTTTCCCCAGCAGCCCAAGCTCCTCGCCACGGCCAAACACCAGCACCGTCCCGAGAAAAGCAGTAAGCGCAGACGAATCCCCGAGCAACTTCAGCACCGATGCACCTTAATTAATTTGCTTTTAACAACCCCTGCTTATTAGCAGCAGCGTCTGCGAGGGAGCTCACGGGAGCACGCAGAGGAGAACGTGCCCAGAGCGAAGTCCTGCTAAAGACTTTTCCAGGGGCAGCGCTCTGCTGAGCCCTTCCCCAGCAAACACCCGCACCTGGACCCGAAACGCTGCTCCCAAGTCCAGCTGGGGGGAAATAAAAAATAAAATAATAATAAAAAGAAAATAACAGAGGAAGAGCATCTCCCAGCCTCGCTCTGTGCCCGGGCGCGCTGCCTCGCAGCTGGCCGTGATGAGGGAATCCCACCTGAGCCCAATCAAGGGCCAGACCCCGCTCCCCACCAGCCCAGCGAAACCCGTCCTTCTCGGGATTCAGCGCAAAAAGGTTGCGCAAGTATTTTGTAAACCGAAAGGGTTTAATTCCTGCGCATCTTTGCCCCCACCCACCCCACAGATAGCCAGAAAGAGCGAGGAGCATCAGGGAGGAACGGGGGTCGGCTGCCCCGTGGGAAACCCCACGACCCTTCTCCATCCCCCAGAGCTCCGGCAAGCACAAACTTTTCCCATTTTCGCCCCCAAATCGGCAGCGGCCGAAGCAGGCGGGCAGGCTTCGCGCGGGGGGCCGGGAGCCCGCGGCACACGTGGGGACAGGGACAGCAGAGCTGGATGGGGACTCCTCGGGGCGCCCAGAGCCGGAGCCCGGAGCGCGCCGCACCCGCAGCGCCGGGGGGAGCGGGGAGGGAGCGCCGGCATGGGGGAACCGGCCGCGAATAACACCGGGGGAGGGGGCAGCTATGAAATAAAGGCAAACAGTTACAAACAAACACAGAAACGGACACAACAACCAAAGCGGACAAACAGGAGCGCGGCGGCGGGGTCGCGGCGGCGGGACCCGGGTTACCTCGGCACAGGAGCAGCAGCGGCGCCAGGAGCAGCGCGGGGCCCCGGGAGAGCATCCTCTTTGTTCCATGCCCAGAAGTAGTCATGGTGCTGATTTATTTGGAGAGGGGCGGCTGAGCGGGGCGGGGGGGCCGGGGGTGTCGCGCCGGAGCCCGTAACCACTCCCCCCGCTCCCCGCCCGCTCCGCGCCGCTCCGTCCGGCGGCGGGGCCGGCGCCCGCCGGGGAGGGCACGGGCAGGGAAGGGAAGGGAAGGGAAGGGGGGTCCCCGCCGGCCCCGCAATCACGGCCGCCCCCGCCGCATCGCCCCCGCCCGCTCCAGCAGCAGCAGCGGCGGCTCCCCCGGGGCAGCGGGCGCCGTGCCGGGGCTGTGCCGGGGCTGCGGCGGCGCGGCCGGGCCGGGCCGGGCCGGGCTCACCTGCGCGCGATCGGGGCGGGCCCGCAGGTGCGCTCAGCGCGCCGGGGCTGCGCGGCGCCCGCGGGGCCGGCGAGCGGGGCAGTCCCGCGTGGCCTGGCCCGGCCCCCCCGGCGGCCCGCGGTGCCGGTGTCGGTGTCGGTGCAGGTTTCGGTGCCGGTGTCGGTGTCGGTGCCGGTGCCGGGCCCGCAGCGCCCCGGGGCCCGTCCCGGTCCCGCTGCCCCTGCCTGGGGGGCCCTGAAGGGGGGGCGCGCGCCGGCCGCGAGACGCGCAAAGAGCGCGCAAAGAGCGCGCCCTGGCGGCCGCCGGCCGCAACTGCGGGGGACGGGACGGGAGAGAGGGACCCGAAACGGGAGAGAGCGCCCCAAAAACAGCGAGGGCACCCCAGAAACTTTGAGAGCGTCCCGAACAGCGTCAGAGTATCCCGAACGGTATGGGAGCATCCCGGGGGTGGGCAAAGAGCATCCCTCGGGATGTGGGGGCATCCCCAACGGCGTGAGAGCATCCTGAACAGTGTCAGAGCATCCCAAGGGGTGTCAGAGCATCCTAAACAGGGTGTCAGAGCATTCTAAAGGGCATCCCGCAGGATGTGGGGGCATCCCGAACGGTGTGAGAGCATCCTGAACGGTGTGAGAGCATCCCGAACAGTGTCAGAGCATCCCGAGCAGCGTCAGAGCGTTCTAAAGGTTGTGCAAAGGACATTGCTCTTCAAAGAGTGTGAGAGTGTGCAAAGGGGTGTGCAAAGGGCACCCCGAGGAGTGTGAGAGCGTCCCCAGGAGCACGGGGGTGTGCAAAGGGCACTTCGAGGAGTGTGAGGGTGTGCAAAGGGGTGTGCACAGGGCTCCCCAGAGGTGAGGAGAGGGAGCCTCAGGAGTTCGGGGATGTGCAAGGGGCATCCCAAGGGCTGTGCAGGGAGAGAGGAGCGTGCCCGGGGCAGCACCAGCAGCGTGCCCAGGGCAGTGCCCGCCGTGCCAGGGCAGCCCCATCCCCGCGGGATGGCACCGTGCCAGCGCAGCCAGGCTTTGCCCGTGCCCTCTCCCTTGCAATGCCAGCACACCGCGCTGCTGGAGCCGGAGTTCCGCTCCCAACCCGCTCAGCCCTGACTGCAGGGAGTTGTTGCTGTGATGGAGACGGGGAGGGAAAGGAGAGGGAACTCTAAACCCCGCCCCGGGGCTCTCCCGCAGCTCTGCAAACGCATCTCGGAGTTTGATTTTTTTTCCCCTCCCTGCATAAACAAGCTTTTCTGTAGTACTTGCTGTAATCTTGTTTGCTCCATAACCGCTCTTAGGAATGTCATGAAAAATTTAGCTCTAATATTTTACCACTCCGCACAAACATGAACGTGAATAAACGCTCATCTCCCGTGCAGGGAAATGTGCAGCAGCGTGAGAGCACATGGGAATGAACCTCAGGCTGGAGGAACCCGACCCACAGAGCTGGGGAGAAAACAAAACCCAGGGGAACACAAAGATTTGGGCTCCTTGAAGAAGATCAAACTAATAAATAAATGTATAAAAGGAGTAAAAGGCAGAAATGAAGAGCATCTTGCTGTCTGCCCTCAGTACCTGATCTAATAAAACACAGCTGGAATGTTCAGCTGCTCGTGCAGATCTGGTGATCCAAAATAAGGGAATCAGCTGCTTTAGAAATCTCATTTGTCTCTTGGGGAGTGTGGGGGATGTTGGGATTTCCAGCTGGAGGTACAGGGGGGTCATTGTGTGAAATAAATGTGCAAAGGTGAGTGCAAGGGGCATCCAAAGCTGTGTGTGAGCTCTGCTGCATGCCCTGGGGACAGCAGCAGGACCCAGGGGAGTTGTGGTGTGATGGGGTTCACAGGGGTCCCAGGATGAGGGAGGAGACGAGGATCTGACTCCATGTTTCAGAAGGCTTGATTTATTATGGTATATATTACAGTAAAACTGTAGTAAAAGAATAGAAGAAAGGATTTCATCAGAAAGCTGGCTAAGAATGGAATAGAATAGAATAGAATAGAATAGAATAGAATAGAATAGAATAGAATAGAATAGAATAGAATAGAATAGAATAATAACAAAGGTTTGTGTCTCAGACTCTCTGTCCAAGCCAGCTGACTGTGATTGGCCATTAATTAGAAACAACCACACAAGCCCAATCCCAGATTCACCTGTTGCATTCCACAGCAGCAGATAACCATTGCTTGCATTTTGTTCCTGAGGCCTCTCAGCTTCTCAGGAGGAAAAATCCTAAAGAAAGGATTTTCCATAAAAGATGTCTGTGACATTATGGGGGCACAGGGAAGGAGGAAAGAATTCCCTTGTGCAGCTCAAACCAGCACTGACCCTCAGCTGGGGCACACAGGACCCCATCCCCTCACCAGCCCAGCCCTGCACACAGCCAAAAGCCTCACCTCACCTTCAGGGCAGCACTGAGAAGCATTCAGACTTCACTCCATCCCTGCTGCACATTTTTAAGTGGGATTTTGTACCCACCATGTGAAAGAAAAGCCAAAGTGAGAAGTGTTGCAGGCTGACAAGGTGCTGACAGGGAAGGGATGCCACTTGCAGAGATCCAGGTGCATTGGCTGGGAGGTGCTCATCCCCGTTTGTTCCATGCAGGACCAGTCTGCTTCTTCCAAAACCTGCCTCCCAGACTGGTGCTTGAGGTGGATGGTAAAGCTGCAGTGATCCATTATTGCCCTCAGCCTAATAGAGCTGTAAGATCTTCTCCGACCACTACAAAATGCTTTAATGCTTTTACTGCCTTTTAATGAAAGGTAATATTCTGGTAAGAATGAAGTGGAAACGTGAATTAAGCGGTGTCTGCAGACTGTGGGAAGGTGGCTTGGCAGTGCCCTCTCTCCTTCCCACAGCTTTCCCTTGTTTGTGTTGCAAGAAACAAACCCAAACAAACCCAAATACAAACAGCAATAAACTCCTTTGAGAGCTCTGGGCTGAACACGAGGGACTGTGTGCAAACTAACAGGTAAAGGGGAAGATCTCACAGCAAAAATGCTTCAGAATTGGGGATTTTCCAGGTCAGAAAGTGCCTTGTGGGGTGAGCCCATGGCACAGCAGCTGCTCCCATGACAGGGGCTACTGGGGTGCTTTGGGGAGGTGTCACTGTAATTTTTTAATATTTTCTAAGTCTTCTGATGTTTACATTTTTGTGACGAACTTTCTCACACAATTTCTGTAAATAACTTATTGTTTTAAAGGAAACAAATAACTATTTGTTTCTTTTATGGAAGAAGAGAAATTTGACGGGCTGTTGGTTTGTCCAGTGTCATTGGAGAGGTGGCACTGTCACCCTCCAACCCACTGCCACTTTTAGAAAACTATAAATGTTGGAGTCAGAAAATAAACTGCTCTTTTTTCACCTTGAGAGCAGCAGTGTGTGCTGTCGTGTTGTTTTGTGTCCTGTAGGGACAGGGAGGTGTTTTGGGGAGCAGGGGGGACAAACCGCTTGGAGACCCAGCCGGTCACCAACCACAGGGAAATCAGAACTGATTTGCCCCGCTGAGGTTAAAGGAGGAGGCCTGAAAAAGCAGAAGGGGAGATACAAAAACCATGAGGAAGAATTGCAGACAAATCATCAAAATCACAGGAACTGATGGAGCACAGCTTCCTCATGGAAGCAGCAGGACAATGGGTGCTCTTTGAGTGAATTTGCACTGTTCCTGAGGGGAGTTTCTGCTTTCCAGATCACTGCTGAGCCGTTCCCAAGCTCCTGAGCTGGCTTACAGCAGGGCTTGTCATGTCTTCTTCTGCTGTGAGAGCATCCAAAGGTTCTGAGGAGCCACCAGAGCCACCCATGGTGCCATAATCTGGGTCTCCCATATGTGATCCTCACAAGAATTCTTTTTCCCAAAGGAGATTTCCTTTTAAGTTATTCTGGTGGGATGTTGCCACAGTTCCTTTGTGCTGGCATGACTTTGCACACAGAGGCAACCTGTGCTATGAGAGACTTGAAAGACTTCGCAGCGTTGCAGAGAGCTGTTGATTTTCACATCACTCATATGTCAAAAGATGGGAGGCTTTGGGAATGCCCCTAGGAGAACAGAAAGAATGGGAATTTTAAAGCTGGCTTGAGGTATTAGGAGGCAAAACCCCAGCTGGGAGTGAAGGGGAGGTGAGGATGGGGGCCAGACCCTGAGCTGTGTTTGGATCCTGATTTCCTGGGGAGAATAAGGAGCTCGAGTAACCCCGGGGCTCTGCACAGCAGGAGATATCGATCAGAGCTCTGCACAAATGACATTTCCTTGTCCTATGACGGATGTGGAGCTCGAGATTTCAGTCTTGTGTGCGCAGAGAGGCAGAAACTCTGCCAGTGGGGCCATGTGAGGAAACCCTGCCCCACTTAGTGAGCCGTGCTGTCCCACCGACCACCTCTGCTCACGCAACAGAAAGAAAGCTGGAGAAAGCTCAGATTTCGCCAAAAAATCATTGCATCCACTTCACAATGTTGAAAAACACTGGGGTGGATGAATCCTTGGGCTGTTGGATGGAGGCTGGTGGCTGCTGAGATGGAAATTCCCTATGGCCTTGGAACATTGTGCCCCATAACAAACCGGGATCCTCCGGGGCATTGGAACATTGTGCCCCATAACAAACCGGGATCCTCGGGGGCATTGGAACATTGTGCCCCATAACAAACCGGGATCCTCGGGGGCATTGGAACATTGTGCCCCATAACAAACCGGGATCCTCGGGGGCATTGGAACATTGTGCC